GCTTTGCCGCTGAGCTAAATCCCCAGCCCTGATGTCCAGCTTTTTTAGAACTTGGTTGCTCACCCACATTTACTCCCTGGAATCCTTCTCATGAGTTCCACATTACAGTGCCCGAACCCCTTCTTTCCTGGGGCTCTCCCACTGCCTCCCCAGGCGCAGGGCAGTGGAGGGAGGCAGGGGTCTGTGACCTGTGGCTTCACAAAGATCTGTCTTTGCATCTTATCTTTACTACTTACTAAGTTGGAAATCTTGAGAAAATTACTTTGTTTTTCCAAACTTGCTTTCTCATCTGAAAAGGGTGATACAGAGAACAATAAGAATAATAAACAGTTTCTTGAGTCCTCAAATTTGAATAAGATGATGTATACGATGCACCTAATAAAATGCTCGCCCCTAAATCCATGATTAATTCACGGTAGCTAGTTTCGATTGCTTGGGTTTTGTTCTTAAGTACATCTGCCCTCAGCCTCTTGCCTACCGTGCCCGAAGTCACTGGCCTCAAACTGCATGCAAACATTAAAAATTCGTTCTTAAAGCCTAACGTAAGAGCGTATAATGGAAGAATGACAGCAAACCAACAAAAATAATATAAAAGTGTGGGATCGTCTCAAAGCAGAGCAAACCCATCCACCTCCTTCAATAGTTTCCAACAATACTGGTGTGAGACAGGATGTAATGGGGGCTAGCACGACGTCACTGAGGAAGAGAGGACAGTGAGCGTCGCAGACTGGAAAAAGACACATCGTACAAGGTAACACTGAAAGGCCACACCATCTAAATCCTTCTCATCCATCCTTACTCAGAACGTTCACTAAGGGGCTCCATTTAATATGTTAATTAAGAGCTCTGCCCTGGGGCTGAGGATATAGCTCAGCAGCACTGCACAGCACCTGTCTGCCAAGCACAAGGTCATAAGTTCGATTCCTGGTACCCAAAAAAAAAAAAGAGCTCTGCCCTGGAATCAGGTTCCATGCTTTGAGGAAGTAATTCAACTCCCTGAACATCAACTTCCTCACCTGCAAAATGGGAATATTGGTGGCTACATCTGGTTGTTAGAGGTCTCAGTGAGGAAGTTCTAGCTGGTTCAAGCTGGTTCTCCTCTCTCCCTCAGAATGCTCCCTTATCACCATGTCCTTCTTAGGACGTCTAACTAGAACAGAGGAATATGCACTGAATAGTCACAAATATATTTAAGTGTTTTAATTTTCTAATGATGGAAAACTTCCAGCTCTGATTTATTTCAGAACTGCAAAGAAAACAGCTGAATCTGAGATGAATACACACTTCTCAGGCGAAGAAGTACAAGCAACAAATAAAGATAAGAAAAGGTGTTCAACATCACTGGTCATTTGAGAGGTATAGATTACAACAAAGCTGAGATCCCATCTCACTCCAGAAAGAATGGCTATCATCAAGAAATCAATGAATAACAAATGTTGGCAAGGCTGTGGGGAAAAAGGAACCCTTCTCTACTGTTGGTGGGAGTGCAGATTGGTACAACCACTGTGGAAAAATCAGTGTGGAGATTCCTCAAAAAACTAGGATTAGAGGTCCCATTTGACCTAGCTATTCCCCCACTGGGTATCTTCCTGGAAGAATTAAAAACTTTATACCACAGAAATATATGCACACCCAAATTTATAGCAGCATAGTTTGTAATAGCTAAATCCTGGAAACAACCCAAATGCCCATCAACTGAGGAATGGATAAAGATGTGGTTTTTTAATACAGTGAAGTACTACTCAGTCATAAAAAGGATAAACTTGAGACATTTCCAGGTAAATGGATGAGACCATACTCTTGAGACCTTGAGACCATACTCTTAAGTGAAATAAATCAGACACACATGTGTAAATATCTCATTATTTCCTCGGTGTGAGAAACTGAAAGAGTAAATAAGGTCCAAAATGTACAACAGATATTGTGAAATAGGAAGAAATTCTTCAAAAAGAAAGAGGAACTAGTGAGAGGGAAGGAGGAAAGGAAGGAAGAGAAAAGAAAAAAACAATAAAAGAAGGATCAAATGGAAACAAGGCTTTGTAAATGAGGAGAGGAAGAGGGATTGAAGGGAGGGGAGGGGACTGAGAAAAAAGAGGAATCAAGATATATCACATACAGATACAAATCCCCTATGATGAATATGATCTTTGTATATATCTAAATTGTACTGATAAACTTAATAAATAAAAAAAAGATGAGATTAAAAAATTTCACTATCAGTCAAGAATTTTAAAATCCTGTGTTTTTTTTTGTTTTTTGTTTTTAAGAATTTTAAAATCCTGTGTTATTCCCTGTCACTGATGGGAGACTCCTCTTGGAGATTC